CTTAGGCCAGAAACTTATGCTTAGGAGTACGATCACCCCAGAACACGACCATCACGTGTTTTGTGAGGATTGGACGCCGGCGCCACTCTTATTGTATAGTCGACACCCGTAAAGCTACACATATATCCAGGAGATGGGGAGTGCGCGGATGTGTACTTCATACGGACATGGCGCAGGATGAATTTCCGTGGATATTTCCACATAAGACGACTGTCATACAGCCTTATTATGCTGACGAAAGACATGATCACAACTGCCCTGAACGGCAACCGCTCACCAGCAGAATCCATCCCTGGACACCACTTGAAGAATTCTAACTGAAACTTCGAAAAGCGCGCGAGACAGGAGTAAACAGCACGATTTCCATATTACACTTTAAAATAGTGACAGCAAGGAAACCTGTTCAGTTAAAGATAATGACCACGATAAATATTTTCTTAGCAATGCGTAGTGGGAGCGCAAACTATAGCACGTCAGAAAAAGCTCCGAATCAGTGGGACAATCACGACCTCGAGTTCAGAGCAAGAGGAGTATGCCGGTCTCTAAAAGTATACAGTTGAAAATGGTCTCAATAAGTTGGGGCATCGTCAAGAGGGACGGAATGTGCTCACGCGGTGTCAACCATGGCTTGTTTTTTTCTTGGACCATTTCCAACTGGTAGAAAACGCAGCCGAGGTGGACTCATCTGACCACCGAAGCTGACGCAGGTCTTGAGTCGCCTGAGAGAAACATCCATGTAGGGCCTGCAAGTAGGCCTTGTACAGCTTGTCCCAGTATTTTTCAAAACGACCTTCCAACCCTTCAGATTTCTAGGCCCGTTCCGCAGTTCCAATGGGACAAGCCTTCTTGATCATAGGAACGTAACCTCTAACCGTCTCAAAAAGGCATTTAATACCTGTTTTCGAACATCTCACAAACCGAATGGTTTGGTGTGCTGAGAAAGCTCGAGTCTTTTGATTCAAGCGACAATAGATTGTGGCCTTCCCTGCTCAACTCAACGAGATGCTTTGTAGCTTACCCTAGCCGCCCAGTCCAATAGCTTACCGCCATTTCTCACCAGGGGTAACTTTCCATGAGCATTCAAGTGAATAGTTGACAGCTTAGCTTACGCAGGGATCCTTAGTAAGAAACAATCAAGGAATGCAGCTAGGGCATTTCATCGTTCAGATTCTTCAACAGGGGAGTGCATGTAGTAGGGCAGGAGAGAGGGAAGGGGTCTTCTCGTGAATTTCACCATTAATTTCCCCAGCGCGATGCTGTGGTCAGATTACATTTGCGGCATGGACACGCCTATTTCACTGCGAATTATCTGTCTACTTTTCTATCGCTGAAATGAATTTCTCTCTGAAGAACGTCGAGAAAAAAAATTAAGATCCAGGCGCCAAGGAGAACAGAAAAAAACATGAAGTCATCTGCAGCAGAAATGTCAACAAACCTATTTGATGTGGAAGAAACTTCAGCAATCTGCTGCTTCCATGCGGCGCACTCAACAACACTTAACGGCAGTCTTGGTGCTGCAGCTATTTGCAATGCCATAGAGTTGTCGTAGGCCGTTTCCGTTTGGTAGTCACGATTCAAGACTGAGCTTTCCTGGCTTAATAACAAATTCTAGAGAAATACCGTTCACATACGCTACAGCTAGCCTTACCTTACACTCCTTGGTCTGACAAACAATGCATTGGACCATTTAGGATCACCGAGACTAGAATGGGCCACAAAGATGCGGGAAACATCAGGGATGAGTGACGACGAAGATGACATCAGCCACTGGCCAGGCTTCGTACAACATTCTAAATTTGGAAGTTTCATTCTATTAAGTTCTCAGTATTGTTCACGGCATTTTCTTGGTTTGCGCTAGCATTCAATTGGAGGAAAGGATTCCTTGTATGCAGCGAAATCATAGAGATTTAGGGCTCTTTTTGACTACACATTTTCTGTTGTCACCGTGTAAGAACTACACTCTGGTTCGCTGCGGATGAAGGGGCGTGTCCGGCAGTATGACTCGAATGGTAGAAAACAATCGAAACGAACGATATAACTGGTGGAGAACCGGTTTAGCACCGCGCCCAGCCAACACGCTCTCTAGCCTATACGCTTGGCTGATCCAAAATGACTAATGATAGATTCCTCAGAGAAGAAGACTTCTCATGAATTGATCGTCTCTCAAGAGTGCCTGACTCAGCCTTCCGTATGAGAAACCCGAAGGACCTAATGGCCCAACCGAAACATGGTACCGAAAAGCTTCTGAAGGTGAGACAGCCGCCCTTTGCGTGGTTGTTGGAAAACAGTGGCACATATTTTTTAGTTTTTTGAATATTATTGAATAGTGCTCTGTATCAGAATGAACTGACTCATGACACCCGAAAAAGAAGCGATTTTCTAACATACCTGAACTATACTTTATTTCTTGTTCATATTTCTTTCTCGTTATAACATATGAATACAGCGGAGGTTGGAATCCGATCCTGTATACTAGTGACTGGTCTCCACTGGTGTCTATGAAGCCTGAAATTATTGCAACATGAAAATACGAACCACATTTCAAGCACTGTTTCGTTATCCATTCCACACCGAAAAATAGATGGAGGGGTGCCGATGGGAGACCATGCCAGGTAAAGTCTGCTTGTATGAGCTCTCCTACTTAACAGGGAAAGGTCTGTATACCGATTCCAAGGCTTCGAAAAGACAAGCAGTGGCGGATGAGATTTGCAGACAGTACGCGGTATAAACGCGCCGCGGTGTGGCACCCCTCCCCCAACGCCGAAAATGTAGTTGCATCCCAAAAATTCGCCCGGGCAGCGTTCATACTCCGCGACCTCTCCGTCGACGCGCTCCAACGCTATCTTACCCCAGTCTCTGTTAACCTGCTTTCCTCAAATAGTTAACCCTTTCTTTTCATCAATTTTCTTTTCTACATAATTTCTAGACGCTATACAACTACTACTAGATCAGTCCTCCGTAATCCGACCTGTTTTCACCATTTTTTTTTGCGAGGGTATATTCGCCTGAAAGTTGTATCAAGGGCTTGTTCAACCTCTAAAACATGAATATCACATTCGCTTAGCACAAAACCGCCTGGCACCCGGGCAACGGGCAACGCAAAAATGCACTAAGTCACCGAATTTGCTGAAAACTCTTCCCCTGCGATAGGGTGTTTAGAGACTTCGTGCTAAATTTATGTCACAGTCGTGATCAGGACACCAAATCACGAGGACCCCGGTATGCAAGTCAGTCAGAATTGGTGAGAAAGAGGCTGGCCCGAAACTTGGCGCTCAAGGGCGCCAACACCAAACTCGCGATATCGTCATCACAGCACCGTGATC